TGTACATCCACCACCTGGTGGTTCAGGCCAAAGTCAAGAAGGTCAAGTATGATGGAGGAGCTGAGACAGATCAACACTGGAGTCCAGAGAGCAAGAAGATGATTGAGTCTCTGGGAAAACTGGCTTTTGAGCAGCTGCAGAAAGGAAACCTGATCTTCTATGAATCAGACCTGACAGAGTGTGGCATCGATGTCAGAGAAGCCTCACTGTACTCAGGAGTGTTCACTCAGATCTTTATAGAGGAGAGTGGGCTGTACCAAGACAAGGTGTTCTGCTTCATCCATCTGAGCGTTCAGGAGTTTCTGGCTGCAGTCTACATGCTCCACTGTTATGCCAACGGCCACAAGGAGGTGCTGGAGGACTTCCTGGGAGAAGACTGGAAAGACGAGAACACATCTCTGGATTCCTTTCTGAGCACAGTCATGAAGAAATCCCTCAGAAGTAAAAACGGTCACTTGGACCTGTTTGTTCGCTTCCTTCATGGCCTCTCTCTGGAGTCCAACCAGAACCTCTTACGAGGCTTCCTGGGTCAGACAGAGAACAGTCCAGAAATGATCCAGAGAGTCATCAACAACCTGAAGGAGATGAGCAGTGATGAAATGTCTCCTGACAGAAGCATCAACATCTTCCACTGTCTGATGGAGATGAAGGATCTCTCAGTGCATCACGACATCCAAGAGTTTCTGAAGTCAGAAAACAGATCAGAAAAGGAACTCTCTGAGATCCACTGCTCAGCTCTGGCCTACATGCTGCAGATGTCAGACGAGGTTCTGAATGAGTTGGAAGTAGGGAAGTACAGCACATCATTAGAGGGACAACGGAGACTGATCCCAGCTGTGAGGAACTGCAGAAAGGCGAGGTGAGTCCAGATGTGATCAGTGATTTCTAAATAGTCAAGCTCCTTCCATTATAACACTCTCATTTTTTGTAAAACAGTGTTCCACTTGTCTACTGCACACATTACATCAGTAAACATATCCTGAGTCACATTAAAACACCTGTTTGAGTGAACTGCAGCCGCCCAGCCACACCTACTGTAGCCTGCAGGTGAGGCGTTTAGGGAACATAAGTAAATTGCAGGATGTCAATCAGCACACGTTTGGCAAGTGGGGAGTTTAGCTTGTGCACAGTTTATAGCAGTGATATCAGACAACCTCTAGGAAATGATTGATGACAAAACTAAGTTATTTTCAGGTAAAATATTTTGCATTTATCAAGTCAATGTCAGTCTTTATATTAACACAAAGCTAATGTATGCAAATTAAGACAACTATTCATCAGCATACAAGGTTCATGAATGCCTTTACTTAATTGATCACAGGTGCAACCAACTAAGAACACTGGTCACACCAGTGCTACCAATGAAGAAGTTAGTCTGGACCCTGTCTAATTAAGATGACCTCCTGATAACTTTGCAGAGTCAGACATGTGATCAGATCACACCAACAGAGTATGTGGACAGTATGGAAACCTAAATGTAACTTTATTTTCGCTCGCTTAACTGCAGACTAAAGTAAAACAAAGATCAACAGTCTACAAGTACAAGAGAGATTGGTCAGAGATTAATGTCATGTCAAACACAGTTAGGTAACATCAGCTGAACCACTGATGTAAAGAGCAATATATCAAACAGGATGTAGACAAATGTTTTTCCTCATCAAATGCATGAAGGATGAGTAAAGTGTTCTTTTTAATACTAACATATTTTGTTATGTGTGTGTCATGACAGATTTGTTTACTGTGGACTCTCAGAGACTCACTGTGAAGTCATTGCTTCAGCTCTGAAGTCCAACCCCTCCCATCTGAGAGAGCTGGACCTGAGTGGAAACTACAGCCTGTGGGATACAGGAATGAAGGCGCTTTCTGCTGGACTGCAGAGTCCAAACTGTAAACTGGAGACGCTCAGGTCAGTTCACTGACTGTCGTTTTACTGAATGTATTCAATTCAAACTCTTATTTTTCACTCCAGTGTTAGAAGACTGAGGTCAAAATCACAGTCCTTTTGTGTGTATGAATATAAAGCTGATAATAAACTAATCTAGGGCTTTATCAGTTCCACAGATCAAGTCAGTATCTCATAGTGGGCTTAACAATTTGGGGAAAATGTCTAATTGCATTTTTTCTGACAAATACTGTTGTTTGATTTATGATATCATTTATAAGGTCAGTTCAGTTGCATTAAATTGGGATTTTTCAGCCCAAACTCAAAGAGAGACTTTTGTTCTCAGTTGTCTGCAACTCTGGCAGATGCCTGCTTGTTATGAGTCAGTGAGACGACTGAAGCTTCAGGTTAATGTCTGTGAAAGTGACAAACTGATTCTACAGTGGAGTTGTGTGAGGAGGAGGCAACTTTACAGTCAGTGTGGACAGCAGGAATCATATCCCCTTAACGTACATGTTGCAAGTGACTGTTTGAATACTTGCAAATGTGAACTTCTCCTTTTATCATATTTAATGACACAAACCTACCAAATGAAGTGGTGAAAAGGTCATATAATGAATTCTATACTGAACGGTTTGTAGTCCAACATGTGTGGTTTGACATTAATCCTTTAAAGAGACACTTGACTTATCAGCAGCATTTTATTGATCTGTCATCTGACATTTGAATAATGTCTGACTGGATTATAATTATTATTGTTATTATTTTACATCTACATGTTACATGTTTTGTTTTTTTTTCTCAGCTTGAAGAACTGCAGTTTGTCAGAGGTCAGTTGTGCTTTTGTGAGCTCAGCTCTGAAGTCTAACCCCTCCCATCTGAAAGAGCTGAACATGGGTGGAAACGAGCTGCAGGATTCAGGAATGAAGCAGCTGTGTGGTCTTGTGGGGAGTCCAGACTCTAAACTGGAGACTCTGAGGTCAGACACAAGTCATACATTAATTTTGTTTTTTTTATGTGAAAGAAAAAAATGAAAGAGAGGGCATTAAAAAAGGTGAAATAAAGTAATGTTATTTGTGTTCTTAACTTCCAGTTCGCATCCTCCTTTCTGTGGCTGAAATGATTCTGTACAATTCTCTAGGGTTTCATGACTATGGTCAAAAGACTAGTCACTGTTATTCTGATGTTTTTTGGGATGTTGATTTTAGAGAGGAAATATGTTTTGTTGCACTTTCACACAGAGCACTGCTTTTGCTTGTGCTGAAGTCCTGCAGTGTACAAACCTTTGCATCACAATAATATTTTAAAATGATCTCTTCCTACATTCAATGCATCTCCTAAAGAAAACATCTAAATAAAATTGTGCTCAAAACACCTAATTTGCTGATGAGTTGCTTATCGATAGACACTACAACTTACCAATGTTCCCTAGACTAGGCAGGCTACAGTTCTAGGGCAGAGAAGCCTCCAGTCACAGAGAAGCTTTTAGTCTTCTCTCAGTTACTGCAGTGCTGCAGCTTAGTCAGGCGTGTGACCAAAAATTACTTTGAAAAGAGCAAAATAAGGCGTTTTATTGTCAGGTTTACCTTAAGTTGAAAATGAGTGATTTTATTTAATGTGCAGAGCATTTTGAACAACAGCATCGCGGTCGATCCTATTCATTTAATTGTGTGAACCCAAAAGCACAATATTTAACTTACTGTGCAATTGATGCTGCATTTCTTCATGCAAACAAATTTTCCTTTTCAGTGCTGTTTGTTGATCATTTGGCTGTGCCCATTTGGACTCAACAAACTCCATCTTGTTAGAAAAAAAACCTCTGTTTATCTGGGAAATTATGTTCTATCAAAGAGACTTCTCTTCTAAATATACGAAGAACTGTGTAAGCTTTCTTTTAATATTAAGCAGCAAGCATGGGCACGTCGCAGAGCTGATGCTTCAGTGGTACATTGTGCAGCTCTAGTTTCCATTTCCCTCTACACTGTACAATTTCAACCCTCGTCTCCTCTGAATAGATGATAAAACGCTAAAAGATTTTAAGGACGAACTTTGTCTCTTAAACTCATGTTTTATTCTTTATTCAGATTGATGGACTGCAGTTTGTCAGAGATCAGCTGTGATTGTCTCTGTTCAGCTCTGATGTCCAGTGCCTGCCCTCTGACAGAGCTCAATCTGGCTGACAACAGGCTGCAGGATTCAGGAGTGAAGCATCTGTGTGGTTATCTGGAGAGTCTACACTGTAAACTGGAGACTCTGGAGTGAGTTCACTGACTGTCTGTTGCTATTGTAGGTCTTTTATGTTTAATTAGAATAGAATAGAATAGAATAGAATAGAATAGAATAGAAAATACTTTTTCCCAGGCCTGGGAAATTTAACCTAGCTGAACCTAATTTTACGTTCAAAATGAACTTGTGTGATGGCAGTTTTTTACCCTGTCGGTGGAGAAATGTTCACTGAAGGAATTCAGTGATGTTTCTACTTAAGGAATAACCTTGGTTGGCTCCAGAACGCTTTTTGCAGTTCATGGCATAGCCCAGAGCAATCAGGTGAGCCACTGTCATCCTGGTGCGCTTTCTTGCCATCGTCTCTGAATCAGAAAGTAATAGCCAGTCATCTGTGTACGTTGCTATGAGGATACCCTGTTTCCTTAATGGGTCAGCATCTGCCTCTGTGCATTTGTCAAACACATGACCACTCAATGAAAGGCTGAAGGGTAGTACAAGGTCGTCATGCATCCTGCCCTGGAAAGCAAATCGCAGGAATTTTCTGTTAGGGGGATGAATCACAGTGTGAAAATATGCGTCCTCTAGGTGCGTCCTGTTGATGTAAACCAATGACGTGGGCATATTAAACGTAGCAGAGTGATATTTGTCAGTGTTTGGAATTGTTATAAACTCAAATCCTGACTCAACGCACAAGGTATTGGGTGTAACCCTCCTCCTTCCTTGGGAATCCAGAAATGTTTCAAGTTAAACCCACATTGACTTTACTCTGAAGGCATCTCCCTTATTGCCCCCTTGGACAGCAGAGAAGAAATTTCCTTCCGCAGAATCCTTGCTGATTCCCTGTTTACAAGAGACTAAATGATTCTCTGGAAGTTGGGTACTGCAATTGCAAATATGTAAGCAATCTTACCTCTCTATGTCCTGACTACCTACCCTGGTGCAGTGAAACCTCTGTATTTTCGAAGAGAGAGTGCTTAAAGGTGAGGTTGTTTTCACCATATGAAGTGCATTGGCAATATCTTGTGGTGAAACCAAGTCTTGCATCCCTAACCAGACTGTGCATGTGCAAGCATCGTGCACTCAGACAGCACTTGTGTGGCCAGACACTGCCAAGGTGAGGGCACTAGCAGTGATAGGGACAGACTTATATGCCTTGTCAGTCAGGAAAGACTGCAGACTAGGAGGAGCAACACCTGTTTAGTAGTGCATTTTGATTTGGGAAGGCTCTTGCCGTCATAACATGAGGTGGCAGTCTTGGGTGTCACCATAGGCCATGGCATTTAAAGCTTATTAGTTGCATGTTTTGCAACATCAAGCACCTCAATCCTGCGGGACTGGGGCCTTATCACTATCAGCCCCTTGCATGCCACCAGGAAGACTTGAAGAGGTGATCCAAACAGGAAGTTGTCCTCCTCGCCCAGCTCTATGTGTTTTAACAGTCCTGTGACGGAATTAGTGAAAAGCTCTTCACTAGCCTTGAGCTTTTCTGACATACGAGCTTTGCAGCTAGCCTCAGCATCATCCATCAGTGGGAAAACGATTTTGTTGCCCTAGAAGAAGCTGAGTGTGGCCAATTCGATGTAATCCCTGGGTATCTCGATGGGAGCAAGCACACATCATGAGTGACTAAACCTGAAATTTTGCAACCATAGGGACAAAATCCAAGTGCCAGTTTGCTCTCTGTCATGTTACAGCCTAGCTTGGTGTAGGTAGCTTGATGATAAGTTGCAATAAGTTGGGGTGGTACAGCTATGGTTGGCTACAGTGAAATATGGTGGGTGGTGCTACTACTGCTACTGTGCACAATGAGTTGTGGCCTTTCACAGTAGCATTGTTGTTAGCTTGATCAGTAAATTGAGGTGCTAGATGCTATGTGCTAGGGGGCTTCTAATACACTTTGTCCAACACAGTTTTAAGGTAAAGTTTAGGCAGTGACTGAAAGTCATGCTGTAAACTGGCTTAGTTGCACAGTTAAGGCAGGCATTCGTGTCAGCAGTGGGCAAATAGAAGCTGTCTGAGTAAAGCCTGAAGAGGAATTTGAATGATGAGCAACACTATGTCAATCCCTTTGTGGCTCTGCTTTGACACAGTACTGGCCGGCCGTCGTGATCTAGAGGTGTAGCCCCTGTCTAGTCCTGACCAACACTAGTACCAGGGATGCTAACATCTAGCTACGTTCATGAGTGGTATACTCTGAGTTATTCATGACAGGAATCAAAGATGAGTTGAATAGTTAACAGTTTACAGAAATATTGAGCTGCACATTCCAAACCTGAACACATCTCTTTGGATCATCAATGATATTTATCTATATGTTTTATTGTTTATTTAGATTGGAGCGCTGCAGTTTGTCAGAGATCAGCTGTGATTCTCTGAGCTCAGCTCTGAAGTCCAACCCCTCCCATCTGAAACATCTGGACCTGAGTAACAACTGGCTGCAGGATCCAGGAGTGAAGCATCTGTGTGGCTTTCTGAAGAGTCCAGACTGCAGCTTGGAGACTCTGAGGTCAGACACCATGTTTTATTTGTGTGCTGAGATGTGAAATGTGAAAGTTGTGATAACACTGAAGCATCATTTCACTCGATGAAACAGGATTAAATATCTAGCATCTGATCTCTCCCCTTCATCTTGAGCCCAACTGCTTGAGACAGACAGACACCCTGCTTGAGTCTGTTCTGCTGGAGCTTTCTTCCAGTTGAAACTGATTTTTTCTTTTTCAATTGCCAAGAACTTGTTCTAAGGAAACAGTTTGGATTTGTTTGGTTCTTCTTGATAGGATAACATTGTAAGGTCTTTACCTGACTATGCACCCTGAGACCATTTACATTGTAAAACTGTTTGTTCCAACACTTGGAAGAAACCAAGTGATGTTTAAGACACATATGTATTAAAATCAAGATGCTACAATTTGATTTTACTGCTGATGAATGTGGAACCAATCAGTCAAATCTGAATTTAACTGAAAATGCAACAGCATGAGTTCATTTACTGTTAATGTTTCCATGACTTTTCCCTTTTCTCTGGTTTATGTCATTTTAAACTGAAGATATTTCAGACTTCTGTTGTGAAATCAATTTCACCTTGTCCTCTGAAAACTGAGTTAAATCAGTAATTAAATACATCTGAAGTCCTAATTTCTATATCTCCATCGTTCCATAACTGTTAAAGGTTGGGAGCTGAAGTGTAGAAGATGCAGACAGACATGTTTAACCAAAAGATAATTTATTGATCTACTCAA